GACTTCGTGAGCTAGTAGACAAGGGTTCTCGAATTTTCAATTCATATTGCCGATAAATTTTACGTAAGTAGCGAATATACCTAATTATTAACTAAGTAATGATGATCGACTTGGACTCGCAATTTCAAATACCTTGGTTACCTTATTTAAAAGTACATGTACAAAATATAACATTTTAAGTGCATTTAATATGTTTTTTAAATAAATCTTTAATATTACTCTAGTTAGTGAGTTAATGAAAAATATGATATATCGATATACAATAGACATGTGTAATTATTGGGATTCTGGATTTTATTAATAGAACCATAGATAATAGATTCGCGTTAGCATTTTCGCTATGTTGCCGCTCTGATCACGTAACGTAATAGTGCAAGAAAGTGATGGGTAACACTGCCACTTCACGCACACATTTGCGCGTATGCAGATAGCGCCTTGCTGTATGCAGTAGTAGTAGGTAAATAATTTTCGACCGGTATGGAGTGTCCGGGGTGTGCCCAAACTAACGAGAGAAATAAATGTAGGCCATACAAATATTTCTCCCGGCCGGGAATTGAACCTAGAACCTAGCAGTCCGGCATGGTAACCGTTCGGCCACAGAGGCAGTTATATGGTAATATGTGGATATTTATTTATTTATTTATTTAAACACTTTATTGTACCACAAAGTAACTTACAAATTTTCAGAAAGAATTTAAATATTTGTGTACAAAGGCGAGCTTATCCCATAAAGAGATTTCTTCCAACTAACCTTTAACGTGTTAAATAATAATCAAATAATAGCAACCATCATTACTACTGACTCTGCGATTCATTCCATACCGCAAATGTTTGCATACCAAAATCGAAAAGGTAAACGTCAATGCCACGTGGTTTGGTATATAAACAAGAGTTAGTAGTGCAAAACAGAACCGCTACCAGGTTCACCAGAACCTGCATGGTAATCCATCAAGTACAACAGCGTGTCTATTCTTATGGCATGATGTGAAACGTTTAGTTTACGCGGAGGATACGCGTCTCGAAGTTTCTGCTTCCAAAGTTGTGGAGTCTAATATTGACACGAAACTCACGTGCGATTCTCTGCATAGCTGGTGGTGGCTCTGGTAGGGACCCAGTCACCAGCTGTGCCTGTGTGGCTGTGGCTGTGAAGCTAGCTGGTAGGTAAGCTAGCTAGGCTTCTAGCAATACTTTCATGTAACCTAAATTTGGTAAGTACCAAATCTAAGTAACAAAAAACTTTTTTCAGTCAATTTTTCTAATTAATGTAAATAAATAGTACATTATAACAATGCTAGTACATAATCATAATTAAAAAATAGGTAAATAAGCGATCGAGAAAGATTACGTATCGCTCGTGATCGCGGGTGGCGGGGTTACTGCCCTTGCGTGGTGCATACGACTTGAGACAATTTTACAAATCTTTACTAGATACGATTAGCCAGAATATTGAACAGAATAATTTTTTAAATATTTTTAAATTATTTAGTATTATTTCTATTATTAATTTCTTAAATATGACGACAATGCAAATCAACACACTATATAAAAATCTTGAAATAGTGGCATAAAATAAACGGCTGTGTTAAAGGAAAGGTAACAGCCTCAGCAATTTGCTGGTTTTCAGGCTTCATCTTGTATATAACGGAGAACTACAAGTGAAGTATACTCGTCGCTGTAGACACCGCAGGGTGCAGTTTGTAATTAAATATATAATTAAGAAAGCACCTCATTCACTGCAATTATACATTATAATATACTTAGATTTTTTTTAAATAAATAAATAACGCACACACTCAACTTAGCCCCGCACTAGGGAAACCCTGTGTCGCGGGATTATAACATAGAAATTCCTGTTAAAATTTTATAATACGCCCTTATCTGCTCTATTTGCTAATGCGAGACAATCTGTTTATTACGACTAAATTATATGTGTAATCCAGAAAATCTGTAATTGGCCTTAACACTGACTAGTATTAAGTACATTTTAATTGTAACAGACTGTTGATTTTCTTAAATAACCGAATACAATGTTAATTTTAAAGCAGCAAGTATGGTTACATTGTTTAATCCATTTTAAGGATATCAAGTAGCAGGATGTGCGCGCGTGGTAAGTAACATGCAACAGTTGCAATTTGTGCTATAAATAAGACAGCACGTATTTTGCCAAGCATTGCTCCTACCCCGATTGTCAGGCTAGTTCATTGCTACAGTATGCTATTTATTATTGGTTATTTTGGTTTGGTTATTTTTTATGTATATGCTATATATAAAAAAATAACCAAGGTGACTGCATGGTAAGGGTTTCTTCAGATGTTTTTTTTTATATCAAGTGACGGGACGGACAAGTCGTGCGCCTGATGGTAAGCCTGTCCATAGCAGTTGCAGTGCCATTCAGAGCTTTAAATCGCAAAGATATGGAGGCTCTGCCACTGCGCCCGTCACCCTGACACTTAAGTTGACAAGTCCCATATTCCTGTAATTTCACCAGCACCCTTACTTACCCTTTAAAACCGAACGCAGTAATGCTCCGATTACTACTTGGCGGCAAAAATAGTCTAGGTGGCAGTACTTCCCTGTACGAAATCTTTCACAAGGAGCTCTACTGCTACTTTTTTGTACCTCTACTATTTAAGTAGCTACTTCGTAAGTCTAAGTATTTTGAACTGTGCCAATAATTTATGAACCAGTTCTGCAGCTTGATTTTGATTGCCTCTCCCGATCGGAAACTGCGTCTTTTCCGAGTCGAGGCGCATAATTGAGATTCATAACTGGCCGACCGGAAACTTTTGACATTTCTATTCGGAATAATAGGTGATTTAACTCACAAATTATCCTCAGTAATATTTTCCTTTGTAGTTCTAATTGTAATAGATTATGTTTTCACTTTCTCTTAAATAACTTAGTTCACTTATTTGGGGTTTTTAAAGTCTTTTAAGCGGCGGGAGTCAATATTTATGTTTTACTTTCACATTTTCTATCACTTTGAACAAAAACTTTGAATTCGTAATTAGTGTTCCACTAATTACTTTTCAGGACAAAGTCTTTTGTACTTTGGTTTAAAATAAGGACTGTAGTTCTAACTTTCTTCATCACCATTTCTTTCGTCGTTTTTTCTTCATGATATAGGTACTTAAAATAAAAATAATGTTTGTGAAAACTGTACTCGTAACTTCAAAAACCCACCATTTTTTCATACTTACTTAACCGGCCTTGGTCAGAAAGAAGTCGCATGATCCTTAAATGACAAACTTTCCGTGTTCGTTTTTTAAAAGTAATGCAAACATTTCCGAACATGTTTGAGAAAATTATATTTACATACAGTTTGTACCTGAATGATAACCAACGGCTATCATTTAATCTGTGTCCGTACGAGAGAAACCCTGTGGGAAGATTTAAGGTATCTATAAAAGGTGGGATCGCGATGTGTCGCCAATAGTTGTGCTTAGGACCTCGTGTTTGCAGCACCACAGGATGAGGACCTTGCACTCAAAGTGAGTACCTTTATTTACCTAACAGGTTTACAAAGTAATTTTGGTTTTATTTGCATGTAACTAAGGGTAATTATGCAGTGTTACGCATAGAAAATGAAACTATTTTTTCGAATTTAAATCGCGTACATTTGTTTTTCAAAGAAATCAATAGGTATCATCAGTGGACATGAGACCATGGGACCTGTAAAGAGTCCGAAATGTTGGTTTGTTTGAAAAAAAAAAACAAACAGATGAATGAATTAAAAAAATTTTTTAGTACGCAAAATTTAAAAATGCTCTTAGTAAATGGTGGAGTACTAAACTTTATTATAGTTATTATATTATTAAATATCATTATTATAGTAACTTTAAGAGTTTTTTGACGACAGTGACAAATTGGGTGAGTAGCGATGTGACATGTTTATTAATAATTGTTTTTTTCTTTCATATTGTAATACAATTTTCTTTTAATCTGTGACATTTAATAATGCATGTAATTATCTATAGTCATGCAATAAATGTATTCTTATTCTTATTCGAAAAAATAGTTGTATTTCCTATGCAGTGTTTCTAATAAGCGATTGGAAGATCTTAGATTTTTAATTATGAAAAAAAATCAAGATGGCTAAATTAGTAATTTTCAAAATAAGAAATAAGAAATTAATATAAGATAAAATTGGTTAATGACTAATACCATCTCAGCCACCCGTGACCAGAAACCTGTAAAAGGCCCGAAACGTTGGCTTGTTTGAAAAAACAGTTAAACGCGATTTAGATCTGAAAAAACTAGGTTTATTTGCAAAGTGTTTCAATTGCGAAAACTTAAGAATTCGATAAATACAAATAAATAAGTTTTGATTTACGTAGTAAAATTTTTCGTCCTTCGGGACAGGCATCATGCATTATAATGCATCTATGGCCGTATTGCCAGATCTTAAATTGTAATTTTTCATCAATAGTTTAATTTTCTGACACTTTTTCATAATTTTTGTTCAATAGTTTAATTTTCTGACATTTTTTCGTAATTTTTATTAAATAGTTTAATTTTCTGACATTTTTTCATAATTTTAGTTCAATAGTTTAATTTTCTGACATTTCTTCGTAATGTTACTTCAATAGTTTAATTTTTCGACAATTTATCGTAATTATTCTTCAATAGTTTCATTTTCTGAGACTTTTTCGCGGTAAATCGATTTATCTTTACGGTGGCCATCTTTTGATTTACGTTTTTTATTAATTCAATTTAAAAAAAAAAATAACGCTAGTGATGTTCTAGTTTGTGTGGAAAACTGAAAAGGCCCAAGTTATAACGTTCAGGGAATAAGTACGCAGGCAGAGAATTCGACTCCATAGCCGTTCACCATATAAATGTGGAAGCGTAACGCTTCGTGCGAATCTTTGGAATATCCACAACATAGGGGTGGAACACAAGCCTACGCCTAGTCCCCCGGTGATGGAAAGGGAAAGGCGGAATTAAATCATGTAATTTCAACGCACACTCTCCGTAACTCTAGAAATTGTTTATGCAGGATGCCGGTGATAGCGCTATGTGTGATGGTGTTAGCGGCGCTGGTCTCAACACAAATCACGTTCAGCCGCGACTGGAGTGGCGGGAAACGTGCGGCTGCGGCTCCTCAGCTGGCTGTTGACTGCGAGCAGTTCGCTAGGCTCTGCCGGCATTTCATAGTGAGTATACCTTTAGAACAGAGGTTCCCAGACTTTTTTCTCAAAGACCACTTCCAAAATTTAAATAATTCCGGTGGACCCCCTGCAGCTACATTTCTACCATATTCCATATCCATATTATTTTTTGTCACGCCAACGTAGATCCCCGTCGAGTCTCCCGTGGACCCCTGGGGGTCCACATAGACCACTTTGGGAACTAAGGCTTTAGAACATACTGGGTTATTTCTAATTATCATCTTCACACAGCATTTCTTCTCATTAAAACACTCACCCATTAGTAACCGACTTCAAAAAACGAGGAAGTTCTCAATTCGAACCGATCTTGATGTTTCTTTTTTGTTGGAAAGACCAATATGGAGGTACCCCCTCCATATTGGTCCCATTTAGAATTTTGGAATTATATCTATTTGCCAAGTTTTATTGAAATTGGTTAACGGAAAGTGCGCGAAACCGGAATCATCCCCTTGTTTGCTACCCTTAGAGGTGTAATATTTTCTTCAAATTTAAATGGGATCAATACCCTCTTTCCAACAAAAAAATCATCAAAATCGCGTCACAGAAAAAATACAGTCGACTTGAGAACATCCTCCTTTCTTGATCAAGTCGTGCGCCTGATGGTAGGCTATAAGCCTGTCCATAATAGTTGCAATGCCGCTTAGAGCTTTAAATCGCAAAAATTTGAGGGGCACTGCCACTGTGCCCGTCATCCTGAGACAGTTGACTAGTCCCATGTGCCTGTGATTTCACCAGCACCCTTCAAAACCGCAACACAGTAATGCTCACATTACTGCTTGGCGGTAAAATAGGTAAGGTGGCAGTACTTCCCTGGACGAACTCTTTCACAAGAAGCTCTACTGCTACTAAAATGTATATGTTATAAAATTGTTCTACGAATTTTTGGAGCGTTCACCCGACTTTCGCCCAGTGCCTTGCACCATCCAAACTAATATTATAAAATGCGAAAGTATCTCTGTTCATTACGTCATCACGTCTAAACATGGTCTAAACCGCTGAATAAATTTAGATGAATTTTGAAAAAAAGGTAAAAGAGACTTAGAAAAAAAAAACATACGCTACTTTTTGTCACAAAAATAAATCTGAATGGCGGTGAAATAGGGGATAAAAGTTTGTATAGAGAACGAATAAAACTACGAAAATTTAGTACAGTAGGTTACTCAAAGTACTTTTTAATACAGTTGCTCAAAACGTGGTATTTTTCGTACTACAAATCATGCCGAAAGTTGGATTTTTCGCACTGGTGCTTTTTACTTTTACATTTTTTTTTTCAAATTTACTGTTGTTTCAAGTCGAAAACATAGAACTAATGAGGTTGTATATTTATTTAATATTTATATGCTTTGTGACGTAAGTCATTCGTCATTAAAACTTATAGTTACTTACAAACATCTTATTTGTTTAAATTGCATAGGTGTTTTATAAAACAACGGGTTACATTTAAACGCCTGTCCATACCAGTTGCAATGCCATTCTGAGCTTTAAAACGCAAAGATCCGAGAGGCATTTCACCTAGTTACATAAGTTAACAAGTGTCATGTGCCTGTAATTTCACCAGTATCGCTACCCTTCAAAACCGGAACGATTCCTTTGATCCGGCTGGATTCGAACCAACGCTTTCAGCATACCGTGTCTGACGATCTCCCAACCGAGCTACGGAACGAACCAGCAGAGTTTGCCAATAGTTCTATTTGCTTTGTACCGTAGCGCGATCTGTGAGAAATCTATAAAAAACCAAAAACAATGATCTGCAGCAAGCACATAGCTCTATTTAAGTTTTTAATTTTAAAATATAGTGTTCCAAAAGTATATTTATAGCCTTTTTTCAAATTAGTGTTTAAAAATTTGAATGATATCCTCTTGTTGGCAGCACGAGCTAAAGTCATCGATGGCTGGCGAAGTGGCAGGGGCATCCGGTAAGCACCGGCGAACCAGTGGCGAAACGCCCTCCTTATACGACGATGAGTAACACCATAACAATATGACTTTCTGAATAGGCTGCAATACAAACCCTCTGTTCATAAATCATGTTAATGAATAATCCATAATAATTTTCAGAATATTTTTTTACGCTTCAAGGCTGTTTTTTGTAGTATAATTTTGTTTTGTTATTCGATCAAGTTTTTATTCTTTACTTTATTTTGGTACAGTCAGTATTTAAGTTAGTTAGCTTCTATGTGTCCTTAGGCTACAGAGAAAATATATAAACTCTTCGCTGTTCTTGATTATTTTTAGATCTTAAATTAGTTAAGTGTTTGACATTACAAACATGGCTTTGAAAAACCAAATACAAAAGATACGGCATAAGCACTTAGAAAAATTCGTGAGGTCCGTGCGTTCCGTGGTTTGGTATAATGTCTGCCACGCTTTGATAGAAGACGTAGATTCGAATCCGGACGGATCGAAAGTTTTTTTCTGAGTGTTCAATCTTTTTATTAATAATTTATTACAAACTAGTAGAGTAATTTCACATAAAAATAATTGAATATTAATTCAATAAAAGTTTACAAATTATAAACATAGTTAAACAAATTACATTTGAAATCATTGTTTTTAATTAAGCAATAGAAAAAACCGGTGTTTTGTAGACACGGAGTAAGCGACATTTCGTAGATTTTTCAGGGGAGCATGTTTTACGTTCTGTTTTCAAGTTCAATTTTAAAACTTAAGCTTAATAAAATTAAAACCAAAATTGGAGACCTGAGTTAAGAAATACATTTCTCGCAGATGGCGCTACGGCAAAAAGAGTTAAAAACCAATAATGAAGAAGCACATAGAAAAATTCGTAAGGTCTACTGGTTCGTTTCGTGGCTTAATTGACAGAGCATCTGGCACGGATTGCCTGAGGGTGCTGGTTCGCATCCAGCAGGATCGAATGGATTTTTCTAAGTGTTCGATCTTTGTTATTAATAATTATAACAAAAAAGTGATAACAATAATTTATTTATTTATTTATTCATTCATGGAAAACCAACAGCTTCTTACATTTAATAAAAACAGGAACATAAACATAAAGCCAATTACAGGTTTCCTCCTATAGCTTCAGACAAATTATACACGAGCTTTAAACAAACGAACAATAAACAGTATTTCTTAACATCATGCACTTACATAAATACAACAACCCAATACCTGCGCTAATCACAAATTATTTAATAAACTTAGGTAAATAGAGTGTCCGTGAGTTTACGCTTTAGCTAATAATACAATACCTACATTATATAATAATAATATATAATTGAATATCATGGCAGTAAAACATTGTGACATTCAATAAAACTTAAAAATGTACAAAATGTCGCTTACGCCCTTTTTAGAAAACACCGACGAAATATACTTGCACATATAGAGACATAAGTGTAGCATGAATTCGAAAAGCTAAATTTCTCTGTGAATAACTTGGAAGAAACTCACTAAAAAATCTATGTAATAATACTATGTACCTACTTGTTTATTTACTTATAAAGGGCAACATAAATAACGCGTTATTATAACGACTTTTCACATATTCTTGTTATTTATGAGGCCAAAGTTGGGCGTTGTTATAAATTCTAAGATTAATTTGCATTTTATCCTTTAGTGTTTAATTAATTCCACCTCAGTGTGAGATTTTAATAAACGTACGGACATTTTCGCTTTAACAAACACTGTTTGTGTCGAAATAAAAACCCAAGGTAAATAAATACATACATAGTTGTGTATACACATGTTATGCGTTTGGTGTTAAGCGACACGCCTGTCCATAGTAGTTGGAGTGCCGCTCAGAGCTTTAACCATTAAACAGGCTCATGTGTGGACAATGGCGGATTTGACCTAAGGCCACCCTAGGCCCGGGCCGCGTATATGGCTTCCCGTATACAGTACGTCCCCCAAGGAGAGACGAATTAGATACGCCTTTCCAGCTAGCACATAAGTTTAAGGGATTAAAAAACCGTAGTTGGCAAGTCCATTAGTGGACGAATTAGGTACGGGTTTTCGTAAGAAACACTCGTAAAAAAGCGTCTCTGATTCGTCACGTCGAATAATTCCAGAATCAAAAACTCAAAAGTCCATGCATAGTTATAACGAAATTATCTCTTGTTTTAAGTAAACAGTGCAAAACGCAAATAATAAACACGGAAGCTATCCCTCTACGTCTCACCTACACTACCAATAAACACCTACGAAATAGAGAACTCTAAGCTCTAATTGTTGCAAGTTTGGTGATACTGGCATGTTTCAAAATAGGCGAGAAACAATAATATTCATAACAACTGATTTCGTGCGAGTGTAGTGTCACAGTTCATTTCGATATTGCATGTATTTTTAAGTAATTCGCGGCATAACTTCTAATTAATATCGTTTGTGTTTGAGTTAAGATTTGAAGAACGATTTACAGGTCTAGTTAGTAAACTTGTGACTGATTTTCAATTTTGAAGTATGAACTGTGTGTGGACATTAATCAATGTCCGCACTTGCATAGAAAACTATATCTAAACTTAGAACTCGAGTTTCCGAATTATATTTTTCTAATTTTTGCTGAAAAATTTACACTATTTGAAATTTTTCGAAAAATTACCCCTACGCTAAGTAACTTAGTAAACTGGTTTTTTTTTTTTATTCATACTTTAACGTTTTAGTAATTTCCCAAAACTATCAATGCAAAATAAACCTTGTAAAGGCTGCGAACACGTCCCCATAACCGTAAAATAATTTTAGTGCCAGGATAGTCCTCTGAGATATGCCTGACACCTCAACACACTCACGATAAATTCTTATCGAAGTCTAATGCATTGTCGCTAACTCATAAAAATGGATCTACGGGGAATTGGTATGCTAATTTTTCCGTTTTATAGTTATAGAGCCATGTTCCTTTGGTACTAAGAGGTTTTGAGGTTATTTATGTACGCGACTAACGGGGACGTGCGCCTCTACTATCTTCGATGTTTCTTCGGGGGATTGTTTTAAGGGGTAGACATATGCCGCCATCGAGTATATAACCAGAAATAGACACGAAATGTCATTTAACTTGCTTGAAAACTATTCTGCCATATATATCATTACTGTGACAACTGCGCTCCGATTCGCTAGCCCGAGTTCGAAACAATTGACGGGTGTCGTTAATTGTTTCACTTCAAAACGACCAGTTAATTTGAGCTTTGCTATAATGGACGAAAATTGCAAAATTACATATTTAATATTTAATTATCGATGAGATGTGATTCCGTTTGTTTTGTAACTAGATGTTTTGCTGTTTTCCCCACACCACCGAATAGACCAGCACGGCATTGTTAGAGAATTATCTTTATTACAATAAATACAGAATATTTATTGGAATATACGAAGACGTCCACATAGGTCAGTAGTTGGCCTGTCTATATTTCAGTGCAAACGAGAGTTGATATTTATAAGAGCTTTATCGCTAATGTGTTACCAGGAATATATGGCTCTTATTTCGTCTCTATTTCTGATTATATACTCGATGTATGCCGCTTTAATCCTGAAGGTGGTTTCTTGTTTATTGTAGTTTTTTTTTTATTACAGGTTAACGATAATCAAACTACACTCGTGCTGAAAAAAGGTTGTATTATGATAACAACGGTCATAACGTACCACTGGCCACTTATACCTGAACATTTAATTTGAGAAAAGAATGACTCCAATTGTCTTGATTTTTATTAATGGTGTACGTGGTCAGTGATTCATATAAACGTTGTTATCATAATTCTACCTCTTTTTATTCCTCTAAATCATAGGTTCCCAAACTTTCTCACCACCTACTAAGGCAAAATTACAACTTCAACGCCCATCACTACAAAAAATAATTTAAGCCATGTATTTTTTATATTAACTTAACACAAATATTTTTTTTTTAAATTTATTAAGGCTTTGGCAAAGCCATCAGCCTAAACATGAAGTTTAATTGTTTCTGTAAATATGGCCGCTACAAAGAGGATAGGCAATTTGAGGCGGCGTGCTTGGATTGACTCGCGATTCCTTAGAACGGGCCGATACGGGTATTTTAGTTCGAGATTCGTATAATTTCGCGTTTTAATTTTCGATTAAGGTACAATAGCACTATCCTATTCCACTTTAAACCAGATTTCACAAAATAATTGAAAGTCAAAATAAAAACGACACTTTTCCCTCCAAAATGCCCAGAGTGAATCACACAAATAATCACAATGAAAAAAAAAATTGTAATGCAGTTTACATAGATAATTTAGGTTTTTTTTCCAAAAACTGTAGCACTCCGTGGACAGCGTCAACGCTCCGCGATAGCTTCCGAAGCCCCTACTGCCGTTATGTTAGGGACTATTTTGGAAAACTATGCTCTAAATAATATGTCTATGAGCATAGTTTATTTTGTAGAGAAAAAAATGGCGACTTTTTGTAGTTACAGTTTTTACTCAAACAAAATTTTTAGTTTAAGTACTATCACGTTTTGAGTTTCTTAATTATTTTTACCTGTTTTAGCCATGGCTCTATAGCCAATGTTCTATAAATACTTAATAACAAAAAATATAGTTTAATTATAGTTTAGCTTCGTTTGAAGACTGATTATTTTTGTATCAAAATTATTTGCAAAGGTAACGTTTTCGGTTAAAATGCTATTTTGGTAACTAATTACTGTTTTATTACTGCATTTACCGGAACAATAATTCCTTGTAACTTGTTATAAACAAATATATTTTTATTCAAATAAAATTACAGACAAGATTTATTTTAGTCAAGTTGCGCATGTACGTTTTGTTGTTTTTATATTGTTGTATAATTTTATTTACCTACGTTATTTTCAAACTTTGTTTAAACATTTTTCTGTTTCTAAGACGCGTACATTTCAATTCTAAGTTAAGAGAGCATAGTGTTTAGATTTTAGTATAGTATCATATACATAACTAATTAATTGTTTAAAATAAATTACTTATATTTAGTTTTATATATAAGCGAAGAAATGCGCGACAATCTTATGACCATCTAGCCCCAACGACCATTGTAATCATTGAATTAATTAATTGATAATTTTAAGGGTAAATGAGTGAAGAATTAAAACATTAGATATTAATACAGTTAACAGCATTGTAAAATAAAGATTAAAAAAAATGTATTTCTTCTATTTGTTTTTGTTCACCAGAGATCGAAAGTATGCAGAATTGAAAACAAAATGAATACTGACAAGGTAAATTAAAATTAATTTATTTCTTTGTGATACACAGGTTACGAAAAGT